GAATGTCATTGGCAAATATAGGACAAACTCATTTGTTAAAATATTAGAAAAACTCTTGCTCTGGAGATTTAGTAGAGTTCGTTTTATTTGTTAGCTGCTAACTTAGCTTTGCAGTTTTGTGGATCTATATTTTATCATATTATGCCTCTCAGTTAGAATATGTAGCAATTTGTATGTAGTTTATGGACAAAATGCTTTTACTCTGTAGTGTTTGTAAAATTGTGTTACAGAATTGAAATGCAGTATTATTTATGCAGTTAAATCATCTAAGCCTTCCAATGACTTCCTTGCAGGGTTTTGCTGCAGGCCTAATGCTGAGCATATCATTTCTAGATCTTGCCCACAATGCTATGAACTCAATAGGGTTCTTAAAAGGCAACCTTTGGGTTGGCTATATCCCTTAATCTATATTAATTGTAGTACATTGCATTATGTGATGACTGACGGCTGTTTGCTTTGAAGCTTATTCTAGTTTTTCTGATTACGCAGTTTTTTGCTGGTGTTATATTCTTTGCTATTGTTGCAAATTTTATACCAGAACCAACTATTGCCCCAGGTTCGGATGCAAGGAACAAAAAGGTCTGCATGATTTGCAGCCAACTGTATTTCTTAATATACTTTGTACATCCAAAATGACAAGTGATGCTTCTTTATTCACTTAAAATGCATAGAGACATATTGACAGTTTGACATTGTACTTGAGAGCAGAACAATGGTGATGAGAAAGACTTAATGAAAAGACATCGTCGCCAGGTTTTATATAGTGGGGTTATTACAGCAATAGGTAATTCCATCCCATGCATACAATGTAAACTGCTATTCATTCCATTATTCTATAATTGATATGGTAGAATCTATGAAATTTGTTACTATAGTTTGTTATTTGGATTCATTTTGGGTTGATAGATAGATGGTAGACTTTATGATTATAATGCTGTCAAATTCTATGGGTCAGACATCCATTGTTGTTGATGGCCTTGTATTTATGTTTTGCTGCAAAGTTGGGAAAGCATTGGATGCACCTTTTTACTGCTGTATAATAATGCTATCTTATTTGACTGCTTATAATTTGTAACCTATATTTTCTTCATGTTAAAAGACATTTGGTTTGTGTTGCAATATAATTCTGTGCTAATATTGTAAATTTTTTTTTTTAAAAAAAAAAAATTAAACTCCTTATCTCCTTATCTTCTTTTTATTCTTGTTGTCCTCAAATTTTTTAATATTATTCTCATTGGATTATGTTTTTTGATTTACAGGAATAAGCTTGCATAATTTCCCGGAAGGAATGGCAGTGTTCCTTGGATCCATCAAGGTAGCCCAAAACATTCTTCATGCTATTCTGACATTGTGGAGTTTATGAGAAAAGAAATTTTGACTCAACATACTCACTTAGAATTTTGTATCTCGTTCTTGTTATGTTTCTCTTGTAGGATCTTCGTGTTGGTCTTAATTTAGCCTTGGCCATTGCTTTGCACAACATCCCAGAGGTAGATACACTAATATTGTTAAATCCGTTGCTTTTACTTATTCCAGGTTCTTAGAACTGTAGCTGGCTCTAAATACTGTCAATTTTTAAATTTCCAAATTGTTTTGGGTATATGATGACCAAGATTCTGGAATATCAATGGAAAAAGAAAGGAATTGCTTACAAAATTAAGCTTTTTATGGTTTATAACCAATCATTATGTCTGAAATTTGGTTAAGCAGGTTAGCTTTCTAAAAGAAATATATGTAATATATTATGAAACTACCAGGAATATGTTCATCACTAAGTAGTGATACATTTCTTTCTCTTTATGATGTTCATTCTATAGGGTGTGGCTGTTGCACTTCCCGTTTATTTTGCTACACAAAGGTGAGAGCTTCTTGAGACCCAATCACTCTCAACTTCTTGGAAATAGAAGTAAAGAATAAATAAAAGAAAAACATAAATATTTGCCATCTGTTTATCTCTGCTGCTAGGGTCCCATATTTGGATTTGTCCACAAATAACTCCTCTCTGATGAATGGTTAACTGGTTTGGGCTTGTTTCAGCAAGTGGCAGGCATTCAAATTGGCAACGCTTTCTGGTTTTGCAGAGCCACTCGGTGTTGTAATTGTTGGTAAGCCTACCAATTTTTTTAGTAAGTGCTCTCAAAACATTCTCCTGAAGAAATGTAAGTTCTAGTAGCGAACAGTTCATCTATAATAAATTTTTGTGAGGTATAAGCCTCAGTAACCAGGTCTTCCGAGAGAAGTAATCTCACTCCATTTTCTTTGATTGTCTAACAATGCCATGCCTTGAGGTCCTTGTTCATACTTGAATTTCAATGCCCTCTGGTTGCAAGATTTTGTTCTTAATAACTTTCTGATCTTTATTGATTTTGTTTTACATTTTTCAATGCAGCCTACCTTTTTCCAAGCAGCATAAGTCCTGAAATTCTTGAGGGCTTGCTAGGATCCGGTTTGTAGTATTCTTAATTACCCAACAAGTCAACATATTGCAATTGAAGAAATTAAAATGATATCTCTTGTATTAATTTGTAACCATCTTGTTCTGCGATTCTGTGTTTGCAGTTGGTGGAGTAATGGCTTTTCTAACTCTGCATGAAATGCTTCCATTGGCATTTGATTATGCTGGGCAGAAGCAAGCTGTCAAGGCTGTGTTCCTTGGAATGGCTTTCATGTCTGCAAGGTAATAGAACTCATAGCCAAGAAGTATGCTATTTCAGGAATCAAGTCAAAAGCTTGTGATTTTCATTATTTAGCTTATTCCTCATCTGCAATGACTTAAAGGAAACCGTGAAAAAATAAGCATGTTTTCAATCACATATCTGTGATGTAAAAACAACTGCTTGGGAAGGCTGCCTCATGAATCCCAACTTGAAAATATACGTTTAGAACTACTACTACTCATGAGTCATGAACTGAACCCAAAGTGGAAATAGATGTTAGCCGATTGTTGACAAATTCTCTCTCATCCTAGATCAGCTGAGATGCCAATTTATTTAATTCAGGTTAATTTGGTGTATAAAGTTTTATTGTATTTATGTTTTCATGTTTATCATCACGATCAGACTTCCCTATATGGGAATTAATATAACTTCTTTGATTTGCAGCCTGTATTTTCTTGAGATCAGCTTACCGGGGGAGATGAGCTTGTGACCCTATCAAGGGTAGAGCGTTGTAAACTGCTGAAGCTAGGAACCTTTGAGCTTAAGCCAAATTAAGCTCTGTTCTTCCGAGAAAAAGGCTAAGGAAGGTGGACCTCTATGCCATTTATTCCTTTCACAAACTTGAAGAAGCAGAAGGAGAATAGTTATGTGGATCCTGTATCGCAAACAAAAACGTGGTTATGTAGGTTGCTGTACTTGTTAAACCTCCTCTGAAATAAAACAGAAAATGTTCAAGCAGATTTATGATCTTATGAGTTCAATATATGAACATCTAGCCATTTGGAAGCGCCCGTCCACACACATACAGACACACGAACCTCAATCTGACCCATCCCATATGGCTACCATATTTATGGATCAGACAGATATAGGCAAGGGCCAAACAAGTGAAAAAATTCTGAATTCATGAATTCTTTCAGTTTAAGAAAATATTGTCTGAGAAATCTCTGGAGCTGTCTCAACTCTATTATTATCCAAACTTTGGTAACTTTTTATTCCCGGACAAAAGTTCGACCTTTTCCTCTTTGATTATGACATAACCCCTTTTTCTCTCCTCCTGCAAAACATAAATTTTTTCAAGACTAAAATGGAAATTGGAAAGCAGATGGAGGAGAAGTCTTTCTGAGCTGAAGGAGACAAAGCTCTTCAAAGAGATTAGGGGTCACATTTTATATACAAAAAAATATAAGAGAAAGATCCACTGGTCTAAATAGATAGGGTTAGTTAAAAACTTGAAGATCACCAGCGTGAAAAAAACATGTGACTGCAGAAAACAGAACAGTGTTGGTGATAGGTCACCATACGCAACATGGAAAAAACAAGAAGAGAATCCCACACACAATCCCTCATTTTACCCTCTCCATTTTTATTCTATGTCATGTTAAATCCGTAGGTACAGCGAAACAATAGTTGAACAGAGCAAAACAAATTGCAGAATCTTGTTAATAAATGTGAGTTGTGTTAGGGCATGGGGCATGTGCCCAGACAGCTACGTAAACCAACCCTTGAATGTCTTGTATCGTTGACATGACATCTCAACTGAGTTTTTTTGAATCTCTCAAGTCACAACAGTACTAGTACTCTTCCTCAAGGCTGCAAAAAGGATCCATTTACTTCCTTCCAAACCTCTGTGCAATATTTACAAAAACACTTGCTATTCTACCGTTTGAATTACATTAGACTTGTAAGATAAGTTTTTGTATTACAAATTAGCATGTGCTGATCATATTGATTGTCGGTTTCTGATCTTTCCCTCTCACTAAAACCTATAATCATTTGATTTGGATCCACTTTTTTTAATTTAAACATAGTACATGTGTTCTGTCTATTAGTGAAAACTCTTACTTTTCACCATCTAAACAAATAGCATCAAATGCCAGTACCTAAAAGGCTGATGCATTTATTTACAGTTGGAAAAGGGCCTTTTTCCCAAATCTCTCTTAAATCACTGCAAAATGCTTTTCTGATGAGATCTGTTCCATTATTACTTGTACCATCACCCTATTGCAAAATGCTTTTCTTCCTTCCATTATGGTTGTAATTCTCTTTCTGTATCTCTCAAGTAACCAGAGTTCTATCCTACAACCAAAGCTCTGTGCCCACCCATATAATCCCATACAAAAGGAATTATATTATGACAACATGGAGACAGCTCCCACGTCGAGAATAAATGCACATACTAAACACACACACACACATATATATATATATATATATTCTTTAGGTCTGATCGTAGAATGTAGCCCTCGTTCTTTCTAACCAGTTGTTAGTAAAGAACATGATCTATAGATTAATGCATATACAAATTTACATGAATTTCCACCTTCGGGTCTGTTTACATTTTTTGGGTAAAACCCTATTTTGGTTTTTAATCTATTATATGAACTCTTGATTTAATTTTTACTATTTATCATTTCCATTCCGATTTGGTCATTCCTTTAAAATTCTAGTGACGTGGGTTGTTAATTCACAGTTACAAAATGACATGTTAAATATTAATACACATGGAAGACAATATGACAAAAAAAGTGATGACATGAAAAAAATAATAATATAAAAAAATATTAAACAAAACTTAAAAAATTCTTTTTTTTTTTTCTTTTTCCTTCTCTTTCCTTTTCTCTTTCCCCTTCCCCTTTTCTTTCTCCTTGGGTTCCTTGGAACCTAGCATGTGGGTTCAAAGACCAACAGTTAGGTTCCAAGGAACCTAGCACAGCTGGGTTCGATGGAACCCAGGTGTGAGTTCTTTTGAACCCAGGCGTTGGGTTCGATGGAACCCAACGTGCTTGGGTTCGATGGAACCCAACGTGCTTGGGTTCGATGGAACCTAGCACACTTGGTTTCTTTGAACTTAGGCGTCTGGTTTGGTTTCTTTGAACTCAAGTGTTGGGTTCGGTGGAACCCATCGTACCTAGGTTTCATCGAACCTAGGTCTTGGGTTCCATCAGAGTTCTTGGGTTCCATTGAACCCGAGGGCAAAAAATAAATTTTTTTTTTTTTGGGGTTTAGTTGATTGATGATGATAAAGATGAAGAATTGATTGATGAAGAAAGCAAGGTAAGGAAGTGGAAGGAGAAAGAAATGGTGTTTGCTGGGTTCAATTGAACTCAAGTGCTGAGTTTGAAAGAATCCATGGGCAAAAAATTTTTAAATAAAATTTTGCTTTTTGTGGGTTTTATTGTTTGATGGTGATGATGAAGAAGAATCTAGCAAATGTAGAAATTGGTTGAGATGTTAGGGTTTGCAGAAGTTGAAGAAAGGGTAGATGAAAAAGAGGAACGAAATTTTTTTTTTTTTTTGGTTGGGATGAGTTGGAATGGCCATGTCATCTATTTTTGCCAACTTGTCAATTTTTGTGTGACATGTAATACTTCTTCTGTGTTTGTCTACCAATTAACGTAAAAAATTAACAGAATAACCAAATCGAGATAAAAATGATAAATAGTAAGGACCAAATTAAGAATTTTTTAAGTTTAGGGACTAAATTGGAGGTCCATACAATAGCTTAGGGACCAAAATGGGGTTTTAACTTTATTTTTTTGTTTGTTTGTTTATATATAGTATTCATGATTAAGTTCATCAAAGAGAACCGCTGAGGAATTATTACATACTTGCGCTATTCTGATATATTGTTTCAACATCCACTACCTTGACTGGTTTTTAGTTACCTTATAATGAATATGTGCCGAGTTAAAACAAAGGAAAATTGGAGAGAGAGAGAGAGAGATGAACGTAAAGCATATGAAATTAAGAAAATTGGCCTGAAACGATGTTGATCTATGAGGATTCTTAAGTACCAGGCAAAATCTAAGCTGAGAAATTAGAAAAAAAAAAAAAAGGGAAAAAGGAAACACGGGGGACTCTAGAGTCGGTTGCATGCCTAGGCTTACAATGAACAATCAAGTTTTGATTGTGTTATACTTGAAGATCCATCTCTTCCTATCTCATTGAGAGGATTCATTGTCTTGTTCTATATCAGAAGCTGGCTCTTCTTCTTCTTCGAAAGAGTCAATACCATAAGCTGCATGGCCATTCCCAAATGCCTTAATATGGTCTTTGAGAGACCTCTTGTGCTTGAAATCAGATCCACAAGTGCAATACCAAAGCTTCCCACAATTCTTTTCATGGGTTCTCCAGTCACCTCTCACAGCAAAGGCCTTCCCACATTTTCTACACATGAAAGGCTTGATCCCATGCTTTCTCTTGTAATGTGTTTGGAGAGTTCGGAAATCTTTCAGGGGTTTTGATCTAGGATGATCAATGTTGTTCCTGCATCCTGGTGCACAACAATAGCAAGGAAGCCTCAGCATGCCTGTTGGCTGTGTTCCTCTAAGAGACTCTGGTCCTTTCCTGTACTGAGATCCATGCCCCCACATATGCATCTGCATAATTTATTAAGAAGAGCTAGCAAATATGGCCTTCACATATACTTCACAAATCCAATTTGGCGAAAAAGAGGGGAAACATCGATCCACAAATACCTGCTTCAGATAGGGTAAGGGGACAAATGGGGTTTGATGCCAAATTTTATCTGCTTATTGCATGTATTAAAGGAAGAGAAGACAAATTAAAAAGTTGTTGGAATCTTTGAAACTTTGAGTAAGGAAATAGTTCAAAAAGTCGTTCATCTTCGAAACTCGATTTTTTTCACCGGTGAATCAAACTTACCATTTTTTTTCTTATTTTGCCAGCCCTCGTAAGTTAATTAATAGGTACACCTAATTTGTTAATACTAATTAAGATGACACATGATACTATCGTATCAAAATTTTTCATCTCCTATTTTCAAATTGTAAATGTTAAAAAAAAAAAAAATCAAACTTTTTTGTGGGGTTGGATAGTGAGAATGCGAAAATTTTGTTCTTGGGTTTGATGAAGATCATCTGATGAAGCCTGGATGCAAGTGGGATACTTGCAGTCTTACACATTTGCCAATGTTTGAAACACAAACTTCAAGGAACAAAAAGCATAATGCTTGATTAGTTCATTCACAGAAAAGAGAGGGTATGGTAATCTTATGCTCAGAGTTGGACCAGACCAGATAGATTTATTCTTAATTTTCAAATCCCAAAACAACAAATCATGCACAGGAGATTGAAGATTTAAGAATTTTTTTTAAGCTATTGAGAAAGGGTAAGACATGCATTAAAGTGAAATAAAGAAAAAGGAAACCCTAAAGACCCATGTATATTACCCTTCTTCCCTTCTCATCTCAACACCCAGCATGGTTAAAAAAAGTGAAAGCTTGAAGTCAAGCTAGAAAAGAAGTGTACAAATAAAAGAAAAGGAAGGGATTTCCACTTTTGCTGCAAAAGAAAAATTAAAAAAAAAAAAAGAAAAAGGGAAAGCTTTTTAATTACATTTTTTAGGGTTTCATTCTGTCGTTAATATATATGAAGCATACATTACATACCTGCATGTTATTGTATCTGTTGAAGGTCTTGAAGCAGAGAGGGCATGAGAACTGTGTAGGTCCAATCAGAATCTGGGCAGGAGTTGGGATCCAATACTGCCCTTTGTTGAGTGATGAATACCCAGAAGCAACAGTGACTTCTTCTTTATGTGATGAGATCGCATCCCTCGAGACCAAATCAGAAGAATTGCCAGGATTTGGAAGCCCTAAATGCAGAGTTACACTTAAAGTTTCATCATGATCAGCAGAACTAGAAAAGCAGCTTTCTTCCCTCTCCTTGTTCTTGTCCACCTCCATGGCACTGCTAGATGAGCTGTAATCTCGTTGTTGATCTTCATGATGCCTTGTTGGGGTTAAACTGAGAAGGGGAAGAGCTTCTTTCAAAGGAGGAGAAGGTGGTGATAGTGATGAAGATTGATACTGATGAGTGAAAGGGTTGGTGTTGTCCATCATGTTATTTGAGTAGATACCGTAGGGGTGATCATGAGGAAAATTAAAAGGTGGATTTGAAGTTGATGAAGAGGAAGAGGAATGGTGAGGAGGGTTGAGGTTGAACCATCCATGGAAGTAATTTGAATATTGATCAGACATGACTGAAGCAAGGATGGAGAGGAAGTTGAGAAGATGAGTAGGTTATTATAGAAAGAGATGGATAAGAAGGAACAAAAAAAAAAAAATAAAAGGGTGATCTTAAAGTGAAGAGAGTACTGAACAAAATCACCAAATTAAAAAGAAGTGAAAGAGTCATAGATTAAATGAATGAAGGAGAGATCAAGGGTTGATATAAAGTAAACCCAATTGAGTAAAAAAGGTGAAGACAAGATATCATTTAACGAAATGTGATTAAACAAACGAGAAATTCAACATGAAGAACAATAGAGTATTGTGCATGTGGAGGAAAGTGGAAGAAGAAGAAAATCTTGAGACTTGAAAGAACAAGGGTGTTTTTTTTTTTAATTGAATAGTGTCTATGTGAAAAGTTTTTAGAAGAAAAAAAAAAAAAAACAAGAAATTAGTTTGGAGTTACCCAAACCAATCCAAGAATGGAGTTTGAAGACAAAGGTTTCCCATATTACATTAATTAAAAATTGTTATAATTAAATTGATTTTAATAATATTTTAATATTTTAATAGTTATACTAATATTTAATACATTTTTAATATAATTATCAAAGTTTTAAGATAGAATAATGTAAAAAAAAACTATTGTAGAACAGCAATCTCAAAAATAGTTTTGATTAAAGTTTGTAGTAAGGTTAAAATACCATTTTGTTCCCTCAACTTTTTATTTTGTACCAAAATCTTCTCTAAACTTCAAAAAGTATCAAAATTATCCCTAAACTTCAAAAAGTATCAAAATTATCCTTAAACTTTCATTTTTGGTACCAAACTAATTCTTCCATTAACAGAAGTGCCAAGTGGAACGATAAATTGCCAAAATATCATTCCCTTATAT